AACCCAAAGCAAACAATGAAAGAAACAACACAAAAGCTACTGCCAAAACTGGTTTGCATTCCAAAGTTTTCCTTACTAAACAAGAAACTACTAGGAATATCATGCATCTCTGTAGAAATATCATATATACCTGCCTCAGCTAATGATGAGTGAAAAGACAGCTCTTTGTCCCCAACATAAGGTCCATTTCCCTCAGAGCATTGGTTCACTCTCAGTTTTTCGTTTTCCTTCGCCAAAGAATATAGCTGCAAAAAGACAACAATGGTTGGTTTTTGTGTCCCTTTGCTTGTACAAAGAAAAGAATTAGGAACATGGCCGAAAGTACCTGTTCTTGTATACGTTCTCTTTCACTAGATAATTGCATCACCATATCCATCAAAAGCTTGTTCCTCGCAGTTATTTCTTGTGCATATTTCTCTTTTTCATCGTTAGCTAGATCCAACGATGCTTCCAAGGATTTGACTCTTTGCCTGAAAAATGTCACTTCTTTGGTAAGTACAGAGTTGGTGGTAGAAAGCAAAATGCATTGCTCCTCAACTGTCTCCGTTCTACTCTCAGCTTTTGAGGCTTTCGATTTGAGATCTTCGATTAATGTCTCCATGTCCCATATAGCTGAATACAACATGTTCTGCTGTTCTTGACTTGCTTCTGATGATACCTTGGAGTTTTGTAATTGAAATTCTAATTCCCTGAGTTGCTTCTCGAGCGTGTTCACCTTCTTTGTCTTTTTATCATCGGCATCTTTGAGAAAATTTAGTTCTTCGGTAAGTTCAAGATTTGCTGCAGTTAACTCCTTAATCTTATTTTCTCCACTCTCAGCTCTACTTTCAGCCTCAAAAAGGTTTTCTTTGACCGACTCATTTGCATTTTCCATTTCAGCTAGATGTACAAGAATTTCTTGTTTAGCTGCATTGACACTTTTCAGCTCAAGCTCTGTATTTTTCAGTTTTTGTTCAGCTGACTTCACATTTTCCCTCAAAGTAAGTACTTCTGAAACTATCTCTCTATTTTCTGCAATCTTTCCCTCAAGCTTTTGCAACTGAACATCTTTGGCTTCGAGTTGTACAATGCAATCTTCAAGCTTAGACTTAAGTTCTGATTCGCGTTGGCCTGATCCATTCTGACTAAAGTGGAGAATCTGAAGACGACCAACAAGTTCCTTTGAAATACCCATAAGCACTTCAGAAGAATTTTCTGCCTCTAGAAACCGTCCCCATATAAACTCCGATGCTTCTTCCATCCTAGAAGATACCTCCTCTGTGTAGTGTAGCTTGAGTTTGAGTTGTTCTTCATTTTGCTGAAACTCCATTAACTTCTTCTCAAGCTCTAGCTCTCTTGACAATGACTTCTCCAGCATCCGCAGAGCATTTTTATGTCTTAAATCCGATGGTTTCAGCGCGTATTTCTGCCTTAAATCTTGACTGCTTCCTGAAAACTCCAATGACTCCTCGTTTTCACCTGCCAAAATGTTTGTCAATAACAACCATTTTAAAGTGATCCAAA